GGGCCCGGGGATCCCCGCCGAGGCGGCGGCGGCGGCAGCGAGGGCCGCGCTGGGGCCGCGGGGAGGGAACGCCAAGGGGGCGGGAAGGAGCTGCCTGCGCGAGGGGCCGTCGAGAGGCAGGCGGCCCCGCCGAGGGGCGCAAGCCGCGGCTCGCCCGGCCTTGCGAAAGCGCCCGCGTCCCGGCGGGAGCCGCTCCGGGAATTTCCTGGCGCCGGGACGGGACGTTCCCCCCACCGCGCCGCTTCCCGCAGCAGGAGGGTCAGGGGGCGCCATGGCGGCCGTTTAACCGCCCCCCGGCCGTTTAACCGCCCCCGCCGCCAAGGCGCGCGTCGCGCCCGGTGCGGGCGGCGCTTCCCGCGCCCCGGCGCCCTGACGGGGCGAGAAGCGGCGCCGCGGTGAGGGCGGCCGGGCTGGGCCCTGTGCCGGGGATCCCCTTTACGGCCATGGAAAGCGGCTTCAGGAGCCGCGGCCCCCTCGGAGACTTAGAGCTGGAGGCCGGTGTGAGAGGTGGAAAATGCCCGGTAGGCGCTGGTAAAGTCTGTGGGATCAGCACCCTTGAAAGAAGGAAAGGGAGTAAAGTCTGTGGGATCTGCACCCTTGATAGAAGAGAAATGCTGAGCTTGGAGGCGCAGAGGGGAATCTGCCACAGAGCGCTGCAGCCTTTGAGGAGCTCACCCCAGCAGTGAGGAGAACAGATGATCTTGGCAGGCATCAGAAGTTCGTGTCCTCAGTGTGTGTGCGCCTCGCTGTGCGTGTTCGTGTACATGGAGATGGGAGCGCAGCTGGCCCCAGAAAAAATAGCTGCCTCACACCAAGCAAGCCCCTCTTGGCCACCCCTGTGGTGGGTAGCTCTTCTGCTGGCTCTATAGCAGAACACCGAGGGGGAGCAAGTTATAATCCTGCTTAAAAGGGTAAGGAAATAAAGCATTTATTAAAATATCTAACAGTTATAATGGCATAGTGACCAAGCGCTGTGTGTGAACTGCCTTGTTGCACTACATTCTGTACAATCACAAAAGACAATCCTGAACTGAAAAATATACCTAATACAGAGCAAGTGGAGTGGTTGGATGAGTGATTGGATAGAGTGCTAGGAAAGATGAAAATGGAAGCCTTAAGTCAGTGTGGTGGGGAGCAGCTTCCACTCCCTGCACTAGCGTCTGAACCACTTAGAGATCTCTCAGGGAAAGCTACATGAGTGAGGAATGTGTGAGAGAGTATAAAGTAACCCACAAGGGAAACTATTGGGAAGATGGTCCTGCTGGCTGCATTGCCAATTGAGGGGTCACATTGAGATGAAAGCGCAAGATGTGGTATTTTGGCCTTCCATGAGAACATTACAGGTACAGGGTGAATGAAGCAGAAGAGTTCCAATGGGATATAAGGAAAGCCTTTTCACTCCAAGGACAATCAAGCCTGGAACAACTCGACCACAGAGCTGGTGCCATTTCTCTGCTTGGAGATTTTCAGGTTCCAGCAACAAATTCCTGAGCAGCCTGGTCTGATCGCGTAGCTGATCCTGCTCTGAAGATAGGGTTGGGCTAGAGACCTGTTGAAGTCCCCTCCAGCTTAAAGTATCCTATGATCCAATCCTATGCTCCAAAAAGTCATCATTTTGTCACCTCAGCAGTGCTAGAAAGAGTTTTGGAGTTCCCCCCCAAATCATACATTCAAAATACTCTGTTGGCTTATATATTTACAGAAACATATCTGAATTTTCAGGGTTGAAGACCTTGGATGTCAGGAAAGGATAAGCAGTCGCCCAAGTTAGTGTTTTACAGTGTGTTTGTTACTTCATCTCATAAATAATTTAAATACTCCATGACTAAGGATAGAGGAAAGTCATGTGAGCAGAAGTTGAGGAAATTACCATTTTGGACTGCCTACTTGCAGAACAAAGTGAACTGCAACCTAAAGGCATTGTTTTGACTAGGAACAAGAAAAAAGAAAGGCAAACTCTTGCCCTAAAATACCATCTCTTTATAGTTTTCACATACATAGGAAGAGAAAATAATAAAGAGGCTTCATCTTATATTTTCAATATCATTATACTACAGTCAAAGCCAGGTGAAAAATGTACAGCAAAGTCACTTCTGCTGACTGTCAAGATGTTTTTGTAGAAATGGATGAAAAGGCAGTAACTGGGGAGATATTTACCTGGCTTCAAACAGCAGTAGTTGGGAAGCTCAGAGTTTCCAAGTGTCTACGGGTGGGATGGCCATTGCTGAAAGCTATTCTTAGAGCTGACATCAGGGCATTTAGTTAGCCATCAAACAAAATATATAGTACAGCTGTAGTTGTAGCATAGTATCCGTATATTAAAATCAAGCATCACATCTAATTACTGACAGCTTGACATTAATAGTGCTTTGAATAAGCAAGCACTCGCCCAAGGAAAAAACCACTGACTTAAGGGAAATTTGACTGCGTAAGCCCTGAGTAAGAAATTGATCCCGTATGTTCCTGGGAATGCCCTTAAATGACGGTGTCCTTTTGTTAGTTCTGAAATGCGGAGGAATTCCTGGGAATTCAGCAGCTAAAGCCAGGGAATGAGTCAGCTCTTAAGACATGTTTCTTACTGTACCTGGCTTTTCCTGGATTGCGTTCAGTGTGTCATTTATCATGTTCCCCAGTAAAATCGATGGTCTACCAAGTTGTTTCTACTTTTTCAGTTTTAGGCAATGAAATTATGGGATATTAAGTGCAGTAATTCTGCTTAGCAAAGAACTGTGTGAGCAACTAGTGTATTTTGCACTACTTCATAGAACAAAACCCCTTTATTTTCCGTACCTTACCAGCCTCAACTTAAAACCTAAGGTGAAGTTCACTTAAACTCTGGCCTACAGTGTGGTGTAACACAATGTTAAAGCCTCACAAGTAAAATCCTACCTCAAGTTAGATTCTGTAATGAAATGAACTCTTTCAGAAATGTAGACCTGCTGGTATTTTGTTAAAAAAAAAAAAAAAAACCTAGCAAGAAATTATTTCAAGTAATTCTTTGCATATCACCTCCCACTATTATATGCATATATCAGGCTGTGTATGAGAAACAGAAGTGGTTGAATAGTAGCTAGAAATGAAAAGGTTCCTCTGGAGATCTTAGGAAACTGAGGAAAAGGAAACAGTATAGCTCTAGTGAATGAAGTGTGCATGGGCATAGTTTTCATTATAAAGTAATTTTTAAGCAAGGAGTTGTTTCATAGTGTTAAGATTAAGAAGATATGATGAACCATTTTCAATTTCATATAGATGAATATTAAAAGTAGTTCCACTGACTGTAGCCCTTATGTCTCTGTAATGTTAGTGCGAATGACGCCAGAATGAGTCTCTATAGTTATGTTTGGAAAAGTCTGTAAAACAAATGGGAGGGTTTTGTCTTTTGTTTTCAGATAATTTCCTATGCTTTATTTGCCAGAAACTGTGTCTTTTTTTGAGCTGTGAACTCCCGAAAGTTTTCAGGCTACCAAGTTGGATCTGTGCCAGGCTTCCTTATTAGTCACTGCTAATAATGGTCCTGGAGGCTACGTTATGACCTAATGACCTAATGCTCCTGTCGTTGCCTTGAACTGCTTGACGTAAGTGGAACAGGTTGGAGAGCAGCCAGTGGTTCCCACTGCTCTCTGCTACAACATCAACAGCCGCTCACACTTGCTCAGCTTTTGACCCTATGGTGCTAAAAGGAATAAAACCGGATAACCATTTATTTCCCTTGCTGAGATCCATTAATCAGAATATTCACAGATACCATAGGGGGGCAATTTTGAGCTCCACGTAAGTCTCAGAATCTGATTTTAAGGCTGAACAAATAGTTACGGTTCTATGACTCATGGATCAAACGCGCTATAAGCAGCAGTCATGTTTGCAGTTCCTATGTGGGAAAGCATAAACATCCTTTACATACGGTGAGAAATAGGGTGTTCTGATAATTCGGTGTGGTACATTTTGTACAGCTGGAATGGGAAACTCACCCAGGGGTCAGTTGGAGGCCACTGAGGGCCCCTTCAACGTGCTGAGCTCACTGCTGTGACACATGGAGCGCTTCCCTGCGCTGGAGTTACCGCTGCGATGGCAACGTGCCTCTTTCACTCTTGTTTTCAGTTTATACACTTGGTGACCAAGCCCCATTTAATGTATAACTCAATAAGGTGTACACAGGAATATTTAGGAGAAATAGCACAGACTTTATTTATTTTCAACATAAGCTTTTCATCGTGTTTTATGCATTTTCAGCTTTGGAGGATACCAGAAACAAAAGCACTCTGATGCTTAGGGCAGAGTTCCCAGCCCTGCTTTCTCAATTGCAGTGAGGCTGAAATAACCATGTGGAAGAGTCATGACATTGCACAGTTATAAAGCAATCCTCTGGCTTTTGTTTAAGGGGTTGTTCTTCTACTTTTGTTCTATTTGGGCTGAGGCAGTTTAGTCTCATTTTTATAGGTTTTGGCAGGTTAGTAGGATATACATTCGTTTGTGTCCAGCTCCAGTCTTCTGATGAGTTCAGGCTTCTCTTTTGTTCTGTGGCCCTTTAATGCTTTAGATCTTGGCTGCAATTCACCTCTATATGCAAACCTGCTGTTTCTGTGTTGGATATTCCTTTTTTTATTTCCCCCCAAGTGCTTAGTTATTTCAAGCCCTGCATAAGGTTCTCCTGAATATTTTTTCCTTTTGTAAGGCCTTTTTTAGCTTGATAA